TCATAAGTGAATCAAGTGTTTAAATAGAACAGGTGTATTGTTGTTTGTGTGTAAACTAGCTGGGTAGCTATACCGAGTGGTTTTGGAAAGGAATTTGGCATTTTTTTGTTCTTTCATTGATAGTTAACTCATAAATAACGGTAATGAAATCCCCTATTGCCATATACCGGGCACAATTCCAGACTCCGTGCTACTACTGAGCATTAAAAAAAAAACCAGTAATACTTTGCTCACACGGGAATCAAGCACGAGACCCCTTGCCCGGCAGTCGCACTTGCGACCACTCGGCCACATTATCTTCTTGTGATATATGTAGGTACATAGTTACATGTTGTTACATCCTACGGGGACAGGATCAAAATACCCACGCGGGTGAAGCCACGGGCGAAGCTATCTATAGCTATAAATAAACATGAATCGCTGAAACTGTTGCTAAGCACAAAATTCGATAGCGGCTTTATCAATTTTGTACACTTTTTTCGATTAATAGAAGATGAATATGGTCATTAAAGGGGGACAGCAGAGTAGAACACAGCTATACCTTATATTCCTAATCCCCAAAAGGCCGGTAACGTACTTGAAACGCCTCTGGTGTTTCAGGTGTCCATGGACGGCGCCGATTGCTTACCATCAGGTGATTATTTTTATTGACGCCGATTGCTTATCTAGTTGATCCGTCTGCTCGTTTACGGGATAATTTCATAAAAAAAAATTACAAAGAGCGTCAAAAAATTTAAGTACTCAGTAAGACTCTATCTTTTTAATTTTGCCAGCATCTAATATGACACAATGCATCATGTTTTTACCTACAAGTATCTTATAAAATGTGCAAAAAAAGTACATACAAATAAATCCTTACTAATATTAAAAATCGGAAAGTGAGTTTGTTTGTTTGTTTGTTCAGCTTTCACGCCGTAACTACTAAACCAATTGCTTTGAATTTTTGCAGACGTACAGTTAGAAGTCCGGATTAAATAATAGGGATTTTATTTTATCCCGGAAACATTTGATATTCCCGAGGGAAAACAAAAGTATAGATGGCGGTGTGTGTATTGGTATATGTCACATAGGCTACTTTTTATCATTTTGTGACGCGAGCGAAGCCGCGGATAAAAGCTAGTAATTAAATAAATTATATATCAGCTAGCTAGCTACTACATTTCAACTCAACGTCCCCAAAACTATAATCCAGTTATTTTATTTATAAAATGAAAGATACACTCGGAAGAGTCTGAAGCTTGTCTACCCATCGGCTTGGAATAAGCCATCCCTTTTCTAAACTCGACAATGATTAGGAGCTTACAATATGTTGAGGATGAAATATGGTAGGTAGTATTGATAACCCTTCTATAGGTAGTATTGATTATCTTCTGCTGTTTTTCCTGATCCGTAGCAAAGGTAATGTTTATTGAAGGTTATATGAGGATCACCAATTTTTTTTTAAGAAGCCCCTCACCTTTATTGTCACCTGTACCGTGTTTGCTTTTACAAACAGACAAGTTCACCTATATATGATTTGGTACAATTTGGACCATGGTTAGATTATGCTCTAACACTTCACTCTTCTGTGCATCTTGAGGTGGGACCTGGCAAGGCAGGCCGCCACAAGTTCGGGGGCTACGCAAGAATGTGACTCCCGCACTCTCGTAGCCACGTATGAGACGGGACACCGGGGTGGGTTTTCGTCAGTAAGAGTCTGACAGTCCCTTTCGTCCTCCCCAGGCGAGGAGGCTCCATGAGGATTTCCCACCTTGGGGTCAAAAATAAAAAGGGTATATTACGGTTTGGAATTATGCTTAGTCCACTTTTTATCCAATACGAACGCGGGCGAAGCCGTTGACAAAAGCTAGTACATAATATATACTCCTTTGCTTACACCTTCGAGAAATAAACGTTACGTTACTTGAAAAAAATTCTTCTTTTATCGTCCAGTGTCTTTTTGCCCACACAAAACCTGTGGAAAAAAACAATTCCTTCGTTATTTCCAAACAATTCTCTGGAAATATATTTCAGCTGCAACTCTATACTTGGTAGCCTCTGGCTAAACCTCCAGACAAAAGCCAATCAAGAATAACATATCTCACCTTTGTTATTAAAGGTCAGGATATGCTGGGAGCTTAGGTGTATGTACAATTCATAGAAATCTGTAGAACAATTATAAATTGACCTTTCATTACAATATGTGCTGTTTGTGATGAGAGATGAAGATATATTGAATAGTATAGATATATTTGCCGTTTGAAGAAATTTGTCGAATGTTTTCTTAGGTTTTTCTTTTAATTGGAAGTAATAACAATGTTTGTTGACGTCAATAGTAATCGGATATGTTAGACGATGTTTTTATTTTTCTTGACCATTCTGTTTTTTCTTTCTTGTTTGTAAATGTGAAAGATATAACTGTTTGAATGGCAGTATAAGGAATTGTAGATTAAAAGAATATAGACTATAACCCCCGTATTTATAGACAAGTAAAAGTAACTACTTAAGTAACAATATTCATTTTATAGTTAAGAAATTACTTGAGAACATAACTGTCAAACGTTAAAATTAGCCGAGCACTAGTCACCGATTATTTTACTTAAGCAATAAATAACGTCATTTCTTTGTATTCTTTTTGTTTAGTTGTCGAAAGAAAGGTTTGAAGCTAGTTCTGTAATTAGACAGCTTAAATAACGATATAGTTATTAGGTGGAATGAAATTACTGATCTTAAATTTAGTGAGGTAGATATCCATTGCATCATTTAACTAAAATAATGAAAAAAAAATTTCGTGACCTCAAAATCTGGGATGAATATAATTTTCAAGTGAATTACTCGAAGATTTCTTCGCCAGTTACTAACTGCCCTACGTTTTTATGCAACTGTGAAAACTTTCTTTTTTTGTAATTCCACTAGAAACAACCAACATGAAATTTTATTTGTTCTCCTAGGACAAAATACGCAGCAAAAAATGATTGCCATCTGCAGCTAAGAGACTAGTAACCTCCATTACTTAACTATAAAATAAGATTTTGTACTCATTAATTCTAACCTCAAAAAATTACTTGTCTAACTAATTACTTAGCAACAAGAAATCACTTGCTTATAAATAAGGGGTTTTTTTTAAGGGAGAAAATCATCGAATGACTGCTCCCGCCTGGGTGAGGCGGGAGGGTGTGTCAGACTCTTACTGACTAAAAACCACCCCGTTCCTTCTCCTGCACGTCGAGTCGGAGCCCCGGTTACCCGTTAGGTTCTCCGCGACTCCGAATCGGCATCGGCCTTATTGGGTGAAATACGGGGGTTACCCCCGTATGAGAAATAGAAGATATTATTGTTCGATAAATGCGTTTAATTTTACTGAAACTGATATGTAATTTGATAATTTTAATAAAAGAAACCTTTAATAAAAAATTAAATATAATTGAAAAACACTCAAAATTGACACTAAGTACAATATAGGAACAAAATCGAGTTCCGAAATAAACGATACCGATACAATAAAACATTTTTAGACCTAGAGAGGTCTAAAAATGCTAATAGGCAGACGCCTATACCCTTAAATATAAAGATAAAGATATAACGTTAAGTTAAAGTAATAAACAACACCTTCTTCCAAACACATTTATTTCAATTTAAACTTAAACCAATAAATATACGATTGTAATCTGAAACCCTAATCTACATACTACGACCTTGCTACACGACTACGCTGCTACGACGCTACGCCGCTACGAATTTCGTAGTAGCGTAGCTTCCTGTCAAAACCGACTTTTATGATGCTATAAAGGTGGTATCGCCTTCATGGTTGAGTTGATAAGTGCAACTACCGAACTTTATAATACCTATAAGTCAAGGTGTAAATACTTATAGGTAATAAGTCGTGGGCAACCGCTGCCGCACAACGTGTCTCGGGTTCGATTCCCGCACGGAACAACTCTTTGTGTAATCCACAAATTGTTTTGTTTGTAAACGCACCCATAAGAACGTTGCCCCACACTAGGATTTTCTCCTGTGTCGTGGCAACGTTCTTATAAAAAAAAAGGAAAAAAATCATGAGTTTGACGATAGAGTTGCAGCGATGTCGCGCAGCTTACTGTTAGGAGGACCTATGTGGTTCGAAACTAGTAGAGCTTTTTGAGAAAAGCGATATTTAGTTAATGTAGTATGTGTCACGATAGTTATAATAAAAATAACCACCTGATGGTAAGCAATCGGCGTCGCCCATGGACAACTGGAACACCAGAGGCGTTACAAGTGCATTACCGGCCTTTTGGTTAAAGAATTTGAGGATTTGAGATTGGGGAGATTGTGAAGGGGAGGCTAATTGGGTCCCCGGTAGCCTCACTTACACGACGAAACATAACACGAGCATTCTTTCATGTCGGTTTTCTCCTCAGCCGTGGTATCACTCCGGTCGAGCCGGTCCATTCGTGCCGACGCATGAATCCCACACTTATTACGTACTTAAAATGTCAATTACATTTAGTTCTTACACATTGACATTTAGATTTGGAAAATCCTTTTTGTTGCTACGGTGCTACGCGCTACGTAGCTACGAAATTCGTAGCACTTCGTAGCGACTTTTCGTAGCGATAGTTTATAAGTTATAATTTTAAAACTAACTTTAACTAATACAGTTATCATTATGTTTTATATCGAGATATAATATACTTTGCCTAAATAGGATAAGCAGAAACGTAAAGGAAAATTGACATCTTAATTGACGATTTCACATCAATGCAAGCAATGTACCTATTTATTAATTAAAATAGATTATTACGCTATTTACAAGTGTAATAGTTATTATAAAAATTGAAGCTTTAAATTAGTTGTGTAGATTAAATACTCATTGGTTAATATTACAGTTAAAATAAACATAATCCACCATTCTATCGAAGTGATCAAACACGACATTTTTCAAGCTTATTTTTCTAAATATATTCTAATTATGCAACATAATGAAATAACTGCTTCTCACCTCATTCATATCACATCATCAATGTAATAATTCTCATCAGGTCAAACTGCTGCTCGCGCAGGTCACCCTCGTACCGCGTCACGAAGCCATCTATCGATGCCAGCGCAGACCCTCAGGCCATGCCGGCGCACCATCTACTCGAGCCCTCGTCCTCCATGAAGGAGAATAGACCTCAGCTGAAGGGGCCCAGGCCCATTGGGTCTAGTGTTTCAGGTGAGTGGGATTTTAGGTATTTATTATATATTTAGTGTTACTAATTTATTTTAAGTGATTCTTTGTAATAACATAATTCATTGATAAGAACTGTAATGACTGCCTCATTGGCCGAGTGGTCGCAAGTGCGACTGCCGAGCAAGGGGTCTCGGGTTCGATTCCCGGTAAGGGCAAAGTACTACTGGATTAGAAAAAAATCTCAGTAGTAGCACGGAGTCTGGAATTGTGCCCGGTATATGGCAATACGCTCACCCCCTACTACATGGGACTCATGACACAACCTATTTTGTAACTAACTTTTTTATTGTCAGAATGTTTGATCTAAATGAGTTTCTTATATATACCCACTCTTGCCCTTGAAACAATTTAAATGAATTAAGATCTCGATTAACTTTTCCTTATCGTTTTCCTAAAATGTCACCTATGATGTACTGCTGGAAATGTTTTCAAAGCTCTCAAAACTACCTAATTTGCAAAAAGTGAATAAAACTTCTATACTTAACCTTCCTATCCATAAGTTCGCGCTGTGACACTAAGCAGAGACCATGGAACGCCAATTGCTACGATACTTACATACCTCTTTCGCTTCATCAACAGTCATCAGTCTTTTCATGCATGCTCATCGGTTAAGAGTACTTTTAATTTGGCCCTTCTTTAGTATATCGCCAATCTGGTCAGTATGGACATAACTGCGATAGAGGACGCCCTCTACCGACGGCCCCATTCATATCCGCCCTGTATACTTCTTTCGTTACTCTACTTTCCATCCTTTCTACATGTCCAAACCAGTGTAACATTCCTTTTTCAATCCTTGTCACTATATCATCTTTCAGTCCACACCTTTCTCGACCACTCAATTTTACTCCACACATATCTTTAAACTTACCACTTAGCTGTAAAAGGGACACACACAAGCATCTAATAACATGAGACATAATCAATAACCGTTCCCCTTGAACATAGAACATTAAAATAATTAATTAATAACCTTACGAAACATACAATTACAATAAGTATGTCGGACTTTGCATATGTTACATTTCAATATTATTTCAAAACATGGGTAGGTAACAAATATACTGAAACGCACATCATGGTACTCTAATCTATCGAATTTCTTTATGGCATTATCATCTTTATGTCGCTGTGCAATTAAGTTGAAAGTCTATTAAACATAGGGGTAACTTTATGTGCTGTTTGTAGATATCTTTTTTAATACTCTTATGTTCTGAAGCGCATATCATAATACTCAATTGTATAACATTTTGTTAGTACAGTTTCTACGTTATTACTTATGTGATTAGGTCGTAAGTCTATTGGACACAAGGGTAGCTTGATGAGCTGTTTCTGTATATTTGACTAAAGTTTTTTTAATGGTTAATAGCAACGAACAATTGCTCGCTGCTTCCATTACGTTAATGAAAATAGTATGTAGATAAAGTATGAATATTTTTGATGTTACTTTGTACAGTAATAAATATTATTTCTTATGGACATTGAATGTGAAATAGGTGTCCTATTGTTGAGTTCGATTCTTGAGTGACGTTAACAGGTTTTTAAAAACGATTAATCTGAAATTATTTTCAGTATAGGCTCTCTCGCTCCCTATTGTATAACTTAATACAAAAAAACTAGCAAACGCCTCATTAGTGTATTATGTACTAGACACTAATAATTCTGCTGACCCCTTTTCGGTAATAAATGGCGTTATATTTTGATAGAACAAAATTTAAATTTAAACTCTTCAAATAAATCGTGACTCCACCTTCGATATCGCTGCGAAACAACGGAACACAATGTAATTTTTTCAATATTTTGAACACTATTTTATTTTTTCAATAGTTTTTTTATGTACAGGTATTTTTTATTACATTTAGGGAGCTCACTAATAATTTTCCTTTACCTTCCAGACTCGATCTCCCTATCCTCGCCGGTAGCATGTACCTCCCCACGCGAGGACGTGCTCGGCCCTCCGATGCCTAGCAACGTCTGCGCGTTGCCCGAGGAGCATCGCTGCTGCTTGCTGGGCAAAGTGCCCGGACTTAGGGCAAGGCGACGGAAGGCTATGCTGATTTATGTATGTGCTGCTGATTCTCAAGGTGAGACAAAAAATAATATATTTGTCATCAATTGGGTACTTTCGTTAATCAAAAATAAATTATTTCCATTGTTCAATACAAAATACAATAAAATACTAAAAAATAATCAGACTTTCATTAATTTTTGTTATGACCAATTAAATTTTATTATTTTTTCAGCAAATATTTAAGAAATAAGTATGCTCTTTGACGCTAAAAAATATGTGACGTCACAATACACAACACAATCGTACAAAATAGTAATTTTTATATAAACTAACGTTTTTGACAGTTCGAAAAAAGTATTGAAATGAATTTTGCTAGTTGGCAAGTACCCAATTCAGACTCTTTTTATTCACAAAACCATATGAGCTATGCATCAGCTAGCTATTGCTAATACATGGATAAAAGGAACTGATAAACAACCATTTAAAAGAATTACATAGATAACCCTATAATTAGAAGTTCGTCTTAAACAAGTTTGCCATATTATATGTATTCAAAGTTGGCAGACAAGTTGACAGCAGGCAGCGCTTGTGAAAATTGAGTCACGCATTCCCATATACTTATTATACTCTTTGGTCACGCATTTATTAAACTGTCAAACAACGAGCGGTCACCGGTGACCGCAACCTATTGTTCTATAATTGTGTCTATAATGACGGTACTCGACGAGTTAAGTTGCATTAAATACACCTCTATATATATATTTAAAAATCAATTTAATTATTTCTTTAACTTTCTAGACTGTTGTGCGGAAAAAGGCGCGTTACAGTGCGGTGCGGCGGCGCGGCTGCGTGTCCGCGCGCGCCGCCGCGGCTGGCGGGTACACGTCGCCGACCTCCACTGGCGCTCACCGCTCGAACAACAGCGCGACCATCGCTTCCCCGTGCTGTGTATTGCTGAGCTGGCTCGTAAGTATCAACACTATTAGTATAATATAATAAGTCGATCCTATGATCGAATAAATACTTAAAACGAGTTTTGCAACTACTAAAAAGATTAAATAGAGGTACGTAGCTTCGTTTGAGCAAAATGGCTAGTATTTGCCCGCGAAGTATGCCGTGACGTATTTATAAGTGACACCCAGACAGACTCAACAGTATAGTTGAGGGGTTCGCCTAAAAAACACTTAGTTAAGAAATGTTTTACGGGTGGTTGGCGGAAACATCCATCAATTTGCATATCTTAGATGATACCACTCCACGTAACCCTCCATTTTAATGTTCCAGGTCAATCGGAGCTGGGTGCAGTGGTCCCGGTGTTGTTCCTCAACTCTGGGCTGGGGACTCCGCTACTCCCCCACACGTTGGAGTGTGCGGACTTCAAGGCCGCGTTAGAAACCGCCGAGGACGAGAGCGATAAGGCTCTGTTGAATAAATGGTTAGTAAACTAAACAATACTTTGTAATATTTGTCGTAGTTTATTTATTTTTTTTTTTATGTAAAAGAATACTAAAAATAAAAGTTTTATTTTATTTATTTATTTATTTAAAACCTTACCTAAAACTTTAACATTACAGTTTTCTCCATTGCGATAGCTTAGGTCTAAAACTAAATCTATGTACCTAATTACTAATACATATGCATACACAAACTTAATTAATCTTAACATTTATCCATAAAAAAAAGAGATAATACCTACTGACGACTTTATGGTCACGAGATCAGCGGTGAACTACTTACTAAATAACAATAATAAAAAAAATGAAATGAAGTAATAATCTTAATTAACATTTAAATAACATAATATATACAACGTAACTTTTACGAATTCACTCACATTGCAACACAATACATCCACCCTTTCATGGACTTCGTTCATGGAGTTTTTCTAGCCCTACCGATTTTATACTCAACAGTTGACGTGAAGTCTTATTTGTACAATCAACTCTCAAAAGATTACTGAGTATAACAATAACAAAGTCCATGAGTCTATACATGGTATACACCAATAATCTTATTACATTGAGACTCATTTGTTTCATCACAAAATCGGGTATCGAGTGGTAAGCATTTGCTACTGGAACTACAAAAGGCGTCAAAAGTCTTACAATAGTTAATATAACTTTAGGAAAAGAAACCATGTTATTTTAATTACCAAAATAAACGAGATAGGTTTGTTGGACACTTTTCTGAAAGTGCCAACGAAATCAAAATGGTACGTATCGTTAGAACTAGCCATTTGGAGCAATAGTTAATATGGCGTAAAAGTTGTAGGATCCAAGATGAAAAAGTTATACCAGTTCGAAGATTCATCATTTTCATACGTTTACTACTTTCTGTAGGTGCTAGGAAACGCAAAATAATGATCAATTTTGCTAGAATAAAGAATCTGAAGCAATTGAGGTGATAATGCGAAAAGGTTTCAGTGTTTATGTTTTGTTAGCATATGTTCAAATGACTCCTCTCATCCTGAGGGAAGTAGGAAGGAGTGCCAGACCGTTACTCACTAAAACACCTCGTTAAGAAAAGGCTCAAAAATGTATGGAACCGAAATGATCTCCTTTTTACCATAGTTAAAATATCTATGTAAACAATATTCCAGGTACGTACTAGACGCGAGTACGACGCCTCCATGCTACCGCTTAGTCCGCGGTGCGCCCGCTAGATGGCGGCGCGAGATGGCGCGCGCGCTCAACGTGCTCGTGCGCACACTGCCGCAGGAGGCCTGCGATGCTTACCTCACTACTGTGGTTGAACAGGTACACATTGCTTATTTAACTTGTCATTTTATCTGGTTGACCCAATTTTTTTAAAGGTTCAAAATGTTTGAAACGAAGAGATTTCATGAAGTAACACTATTGTGCTATTTATTTTTTGCTACAAAACATAACTAACAACTGGAAAAATATTTAATTTTTATTCCATTATTCTATAATTCTATAATGTTTATTCCGGGTAAACAGAATAAACATTAAACATTTATTCCGTTTACAAGGTATAAAAATTAAAACAAAACCAGGTGATCCGTCTGCTCGTTTGCCTTCTATTCCATAAACCAAAATATGGTCACAGAAGTATGTCAGTTAATAGTGGTATAAAGATAGAAGGTAGACATTGTTGGATTGGTCCTTTACAGTAATTGTTATTATAATTAAAAACACTGATTTAATTCCCCAGGAGGTGCAGCACACAGTGCTAATGAGCGTGGAGGCAGCGCGTCGCTGTGTGTGGGTGTGTCGCGCGGGCGGCGCCGCCGCGGAACAGACCGACACCGGCGACAGGGCGCACCAACAGGAACTGCAGCGGAGACTCAATAACTTGCAGAAGGATCTAAAGGTATTTGTGACATCAACATGTTACTCACGTAACTGTTCGGGAGTACTCAACTAGTTTCGAGCTTTGACTGGGACTCATAACCATAAGATATTTGAGACAAAATAGAAAATGCATTCTGTCTCATATGAATCCGCGTTCGAAAGGGTGTTTGTATCATGTTTCACTGATTGAAGATTGAAAAGAAAATTCTGTGGGTGGAAATAGTCGTGAACTGTCACTGTGCACTGTCGCATTTTAAACTTTATTATAACATAACATAACATCACGCCTTTTATCCCCGAAGGGGTTGGTGCACATAATACCACTGTACCTACAATGTAACACCCACTTTTTACTATTTATGTTATGAGTCCCATGTAATAGGGGGTGAACCCATTGCCATATACCGGGCACAATCCAGACTCCGTGCTACTACTGAGAATTTTTTTAAAACCCGATAATACTTTGCCCGACCCGGTAATCGAACCCGAGACCCCTCGCTCGGCAGTCGTCGGCCAACGAGGCAGTCTTTATTATTTTTTGTCATTAACATTTATCAACATTTACGTCTTTATCTACTAATTACGTATTTCACCTACAGCAACACCTAAGTGAGCGCAATGTGATCCGCGCGACAATGCGCGGTCGCGGCGGCGCGGACGACGACTACACTACCGGCGTCAGCGCCGCGCTCGGGGACAGACTCGACGCGCTACTTGATGCACTCGTTACCGACCACGACCTGCCTGCAGGGTATAATGGGATACCTACCAGGTATTTAAGATTCTTTTAATATCATCCAACTTTGCCCATGGCTATACACGCGTTAACTTTCCTCTAGAATCACTCTGTCTATGAAAAAACACATTTCTAAGTATACATGGATAGACAGCGGAATGTAACTTTGTTTTATACTATAGACATGTAAAGAATAGTTTTACGTTTTATAATGTAATCTATAAAATGTCTCGGATTCTTGGTTCCCTATAAAGTTCTCGATGCTTCCCAAAATCACGTCCTATTTTGAAACCCGTGATAGTGATCTGTCTCTCATCATTAACAATACCTGAATAGTTTATAATCAATCAATTATTTTGTTTCGCAGTTTGTTCGACGAGGTGAACGAGCACCTGACGTTCTGCCAGAAGGCGGCGCAGTGCACCTCCAACAGAGAGATCACGCTGAATGAACTCAAAACGTAAGTGTTTCTAAAATTCATATCTACACATTTCTTTTGTAGTTCCATTGACTTTTAAAAGGCCAGAGTTCTAGATAGATGCAGCATTAATATAAGAAAATAAACAAATAATTCTACCAAAAAAGTTATAAAGATATACGTAACTTGTTCAAAAAATAACAACACAGGTTTTACTTTACCAACCCAACCTGAATCCACCGAAAAGAAAGTCTGAAAGATTAAAGCAACATGCTTTTAAATGTCACAAGCGCCCTCTACAGACCTCAAAAACTACATGAACTAATAATATTGCAGGTACATTACGGGTGACAGTACGGTCCCGCTAGCGCTCATAGGTGGCGCTGGGTGCGGTAAGGCGACTCTAGTCGCTCGCGCCGTCACACAGGCGCACTCGTACCAACCCGACCTCGCTGTTATTGTACGGTAAGATACAATTTTACATTTATATGTTGTATAGATTTAAAAAAATAAGGGTTGTAACTAAAATTTCTCACTCAAAAACATAAATTAATTATTGTGTAAATATGTTTTTGCTGTTAATCAAATGATACAAGCGATAGTTAGTTGACCAAGAGATGAAAGTCACTCTAAGTGTTCGTCATAAACGTCAGAGTCAATCCCATACATTAAGTGGTATCTTTGGTCCATCGACTAGCGCTTAAATTTCATCTGGCTGATTATAAAGAGGTTGCTTGTCAAATAAGTAATCAAGATCCTTGTCAGTAAACTTACAATTTTAAATAACTCCTTACTAAAACCAGACTGAATATTTATGCTATCTTCAGGTTCGTGGGTCTGACGCCTCAGTCGAGTAGTTCCCACATGCTGCTTAAGTCCATCGTGGACCAATGCCACGTGCTGCTCACTGGCACCGTCTACCGGGGACGGAATGTAAGTACAACAGTATTGGAATGTAACATGGTAGTTTGTAACATGGTAGTTTGTAACATGGTAATTTGTAACATGGTAGTTTGTAACATTTGTAACATATAATATTCATATTGTCAACCCAAGGTCACCCCTTTTTATCGTACTCCTCGATTTTGTGTGATCTCTCTTTGTTTGCAACGATTTTAACTATATCGTCCACCCAAACTATTTTTGCTATGGTGATTAATTTGCTGTAGCTAAACCCAAAATGATTGTCTTACGAAACGAGGTCGCCAATAACGTTTTTTTTTTATTTTCCAACATCTGTAGTCTTTATTTACTTCTTTAGCTTGAAATTGAACCCAGTGTTACAAATTTCTGAAGCTGGCTCCGGTTTCAAAGCAGGAGTAGGAACGGGGTGGTTTTTAATCAGTAAGAGTCTGGCGGTCCCTTTTGCCTCATCCAAGGCGGGGAGACGTAATTACATGATTCTTAAAAAAAAGTGTTACAAAATAACAATAATTGATTTGGTTGTCAGGACGTATACTCCCTGTCGGCGGCTCTCCCGGGTCTGCTGGGCGGCGTGGGGCGGTCGCGCGGCGCGCTGCTGTGCGTGGTGGGGGCGGACGCGCTGCGCGCCGCGCGCTGGCTGCCCGAGCGACTGCCGCATAATGTCAAGATGATCGTCACTGTCACTGAGGGTATGTACTACATATATTTTTTTAATTAATAAAAAAAAAGTTCGGTTTTGAGTTTGACCTGTATGTATGTATGTTCGTGTGCGAATATCTCGCAATTCGCTGAAACGTTTGCTGAATCGAGTTTCAAAGAAAC